CTATCATAATGTTAATCATGCTCTTATTCAAATGTCTGTTTTCGACCTCTTGGTTCAAAACTTGACTCCGACGCTTGTCATGAATGTATAAAAGATCATCTATTGTGTAATTAAGTTCATCCACGTCAGAGACAAGTCTGTGGGCTGCATCCTTGGACGGTTGGAATTTGTTGATTGATGTGACCAATTTAGAAAGATCTTGCTCCAAATTATCTAATTGTTGAAATATTTTTTCACTTCGATTTTCATTGAGTTTAGAATTCGTCAGTGATCCCGTTGCGTGTGCGGACCATGATCCAGCTGACGACTGCGATGGAGTACCGGTGTTCATTGTCTAGGTGATACACTAGATATTATTGAAGAGGTGGGATGGGGTAGGAAAGATGTAAGTCGCGGGAAATGTTGGTGCTTATATAATAACTATTCAAACGGTATGGTCCTTTAGACCCAAATTCCATAAATTATGGTTCTCTCCAAGTACATAGTAGAGAGTCTTGGAAGCGTAGCCTTCAGATTTGGCTGAGCCCAAATTTTCAATGATATCTTCTAGTAAAATTGCCTTCCCAGCAGCAATACCGTCTCCCAAACCTGGATGTCTAATGTTCACAATGTGTATATGGAAGTGATAATATGAAGGTTGGTAGTGGACAAAAAGTCTCAATTGGGTTCTTGGAATACTATAACGTCCCGAAATTGTTCGTCGGAGAGATCCGTTCAATTCTTTGAGCCACGAAACGTGAGAATGATTTAGATCTCTGACAGATGAAATGTCTTCCCTGTTAACTATGCAAACACAATATAGAGAATCTAACGTATCCCCATCCCACTTCATGTCCGGTAAGACAACGAATCCAGTTTTTGGATCAGAATTTCTAAGTAGGATCTTATCTGCTTCATAGTTGTTGAAAAGAATGTTACGAACCCATTGGATACGATCTCCCTTCATTGTTTTAATGTAAGGCTTCACAATTCGTTGGTAAGCTTCTGAAGTTTCTTTTATCAGGTGGTACTGTTGGGCAGCATACTTTTTCAAATGCGTTTCAGTTGCAGGGTAAATTACATTGATCTTTGCAGAAGGAGCCGTTTCTAAGTCTTGATCCACAACACACATTCCCCAGTGATAGACATCATTTATGTTTATGTCTCTGATCCGCTGGCCAATGACACCATTATCTGATTCAAAGAGTGAATTTAGTTGGAGATCGTTGAATTGGAAATGCGACTTCTCTAATGATACAATAGCGTCCTGTTCATCTATTTTTCCAAGCAAGACTATAGACTTTGTCTGTGGATCCGAATTGAGGATCTTTTCAAATTTGAAACCTGGCAAAAGGTCTCGTATAGGGGGCATTTGTGTGATGATGCTAGAGGACTAGAATGTATTTTCATAGTAAGTACTCGCTTAAGCAAGGGCTGCATTACGTAAACGAGAATAGAAACATGTATTGAACACGCTGAAGAGGGGAGAGGAGTCCAAATGACGAGTTAAGGTACATAAATACATGGATGCAAGGTTGAAAAGACTATTAAATATATCCATTATCATTTGTGTGTGCCCTCCCTATCCAACTTGCTGTCTGTTATTTGTCAAGAAAGGCCCGATGATCTCTTGGTGAAACTTTCTTCCATCTTTTCCCCGCTAGTAATCACCAATAATCCTGCTTCAGCGCAAGAAGAACCACCATATTATAAATACAAAGAAAATGCCTACCATTGCAACCGGAACGTATTGTTTTATGAGAGCCTCCAAATTGATTCTTCGAGCTGCTTTTCTATACTTTTTTGATTCAGCCCTCAAATTGTATGAAAGATCAGACATATCGTCCAAAGACTCTCCACGGTACAAAAGATCTTCAATGTTTTTGGTCATAATACGCTTCACGTCGCTAAGTTCATTATTCAAATGATCCAGGTTCGACTGGGTTCTAGAATCTTGGTACAACTTCTTAGTCTTGCTCATGAACGAGTCAAATGAGACAAACTGGTACGGTCTTGTGTCGGATCTTAATGCAGCGGCTCCGTGAGAGTTAATAAATTCATTGGCAATCTCTTGCAAATATGCGAATGCAAGATTTCTTGAAAAAGACTTGTCCACAATCACCAAAAATACAATAGATTCTCTAAGAAGGTAATGGATGGTGTAATTTCCACTTCTAATGCTAGCTTCTGTAGCAGAATTCGAATTAACCTTGTTTACTATGGCTTTGGCTTGGTTCTTTTGTTCTGTCAGGTTCTGGGTCTGGTCATCATCCACGGTGGCTGACAAAGGAAGGCCTTAACGAAAGTTAGTTATTTGATTGTCATGTGCTAGAATCTCCTGGGATTGCAACATACCGTCGTTTCTAAAAATCAGGGTGGACTTTACCATTTGTTGTTTGGAGATGAGGTGTAAACAGGTTGACAGATCGATCAAGCGAGCGTAGGGAACACCTCAGAAAGACATCTATCGATGCCCTTGCGCGAGCATGATTTCTTCCCTACTAACCTCATTATCCTCCATAGCTTTACTTTCCATCGTTACAAAGCGATGGTTTTGTGATTACCACTATGAATCAGCAGGATCAATCAGATTTTATGGACATTGAAGATGGGTCAGAACTTCAGACCATCACCAATTACGTTAATAACCAACGATTAACCAATGATTTTGTACTCAACATTGAAAAGGATTTAGGCTCTAGATACAAGCAAAATAAGGATTACACATATGAGCACTCCATTTTGTTCATAGCTGACACCAACTTTGTCCTATCTCATCTCAAGCTGTTATCACAAATTCACAATATCGCTCTCGTCAATGAGCAAATGATCACACACTTAAAGATTGTGATCCCCATAACAACAATAGCAGAGCTAGACGGTTTAAAGTCTAGTACTAGAAAGGAAGATGGGCTCAATGTGGGCATGCTTGCGAGATCGGCTGTAGACTGGATTTATACCCATTTGGCGAACAATGATCCTATCGTCAAGGGCCAAAAATTGTACCAAAGGATAGAACGAGATTTGACTCCAGACGCTTCCATTTTAGATTGTGCTTTGTATCTCCAGAGCGAATACAAATCCAGTTTGGTTGTTCTATTGTCAAATGATAAGAATTTGTGTAATATGGCTCTCACAAATCAAGTGCTGACGGTCTCTTATCGCACCGGTATGACTGCAGAACTTATACTGTCTACCACATTTCAGGAGCTGCAGAATAGAGGACTATTAGACGTCAGTATTGATGATCATGAAATCACTGACTACGAACCTAAAGCACATCCAGCTGATAATACTTCTATAGAGGATGCCATTGCAACAGTCTACTCCGAAATTAAAATGGTAGCGCTTGATTCCTTGGACGCCTTAATGATTCAGGAATATGGGGATGATTTAGAGTTTACTGGATACGAAAAGAAAAATATTGTGGAGTTGAGTGATTGTTTTGATCTGATATCCAGGTATGGGGTATCCACATTTTTTTATCTCTTTAAGAAAAGCAGAGTGATCGATTCAAAGATGTTTCAAAGAAACTCAGCAACAAAACAGAAGTTTTTCAAAACCCCTCCATCTGATGCTCCTGAGCTTCGGGAATTTGTAGAGTTCTGGTGCGAATTACTCACCTGTCTGTATCAGGCACGAGAACCTTCACAAAAGAAAGCTCTGTCTCAACTAACTGCAAGGTGGCTGGCCATAGCCAATCGTTTTAAAGCAGATTATTTTTGAGATTTGATTGCAACTTCAGAAGATGAGTTTAACTTTCTTTTGAGGGACTTAATGACACCAAATTTTCTCCTCTTTGGTTTATAGATTTCAGCATTTACATCTTCAACGTTTACATTACTGTCTTTTCCAAACATATTGACCTTTTCTTGGTTTACTTCGTCTAACACTGGAACAGAAGCAGACACTTTACCGAACTTCCGTTTCTTCGAGTTTTTTTCAAACTGTGACTCAATATGCTTCTTGTTCTTTGGAAATTCGTCCACTTCCATATATTCATGATAGAAACTGTCATTATTGTTTATAATATTCTTGTCTCCCTTTTCTATTGATTCCGTGACCGTCCTTGAGAGACTGTATTCATTACTATGCCTCCAATCATTTCTCTCTTTTAGCAATTCTCCTATAAGATCCCAAATACAAACATTCTTATACGGATCTTGAGCCTGCAGTGTGGCTGGATCAAATTTCAATAGTGATTGTCTTAAGCTATGACCCTCTGGTATTATTTTTGCCAGCGTCTTGTTATTCAATATCTTAGTCTTCTCCTGTAGAGAATTCTCTGCCGAGCTTTCTCCATTGCCGGAGGAAAAACTATAACTCTCTAGGACGGTGTCCAATAACTTTGAAATTAGCTTGTCCTTTTTATCTATTTCATGTAAAATACAGTTTTTTTGAAATCTCTCTATTGATAACTCTTTAAACACTTGAAAATTAATACTTTGAGAGATAGCCAATGCAGTTGCATCGCTCACGAGGTTTAGAGGAAAAACCCACTTGAAAGTTTCCTTTTTTGGCACTGACTCTGATATATTGGTTAATTGAAACATTGACCGTCCATCTTTTGGGTATAAGAACCCCACTTGAGTAATCTTGGAGTCTAAATTGGATACATTTTCATCTAAAAACAACATTGTCTTGTAAAGGTCATCCACACTTGAAATTTCCACTCCATTATTCCCTGAAAGTTCTATGAAATCCTTTAGACTGTTGATTTCAAGCGTCCATGTCTGTGTGATGTTTGTCAAGATGAATGTAAGGAGTGGGTGGTCAGTTTTGCCTTGCGTCGCAGTATCAGGTTTATTCGACTTTAGACCGTACAAATAATCGATACCAGTGTCCCTGTCGAACCACTTTGACCAAGTATCAGGAATCATTAATCGCCGTTGTGAGTGATCTGACAAGGTCTAAAGTGAACAATTGTGGTAGTGTATCTTAAATCAAATAAACTATCTAGGTACAATCAGTTTAGAAGGAGATTAGAAAATGAGATTAGGAAAAAAAAGTTGAAAAAAAAGCTTCCCCACCAGGAGTCGAACCTGGAATCTTCTGGTTTCCTATTACCTCGAGTTTACTCGAAGTTGGCTAATCGTAGCCAGACGCCTTGACCATTGGGCCATGAGGAACGAAGCTTGACAATAGATCTACACAGTAATATATATAGCTGTATTTGAAATCGCTCTCAGCTTTTGCTATTGGTACTAAATCGAACTCCCTCCATTTTCATGCGCCAATGTTTCAGTTATTCTTTTTTCGGAGTTATCTTTTACATAAATCCATGAAACTAAGGTCCATTAGACAAAGTCTACAATCTTTGACACGTAAAGTGATAATTTCTAAATACACAACTACCTTAATTATTAGGCAAATTAAGCATCGTAGGTACTGGCAGAGACATTACCTCCCTTTCCAGTCCAGTTGATGTGGATCCAGTCACCAACTTTGAGTCTCTCATTTGCCTCCTCTGGAAGAACCTTGAAAGTGTGGGCACCGAAGTAATCTCTTTGAGCTTGCAGTAGGTTGGCTGGAAGCTTCTCAGATCTGTAACCATCGTAGAAAGACAGAGCGGTAGAGAAGGCAGGAGTTGGAATACCAAACTCAATAGCCTTACCCAGAGTTGCTCTCCATCCGCTTTGAGCCTTGGAAATGGCGTTGTTGAAGAATGGGTGGAACAACAAGTTCTCCAAGTCTGGGTTCTCACGGTAAGCAGCAGTGATCTCACCCAAGAACACGGATCTGATGATACATCCCCCTCTCCACATAAGAGCAATGGATGGGAAGTTCAAGTCCCATTTGTACTCCTTGGCAGCCTCTCTGATCAATTGGAAACCTTGAGCGTAGGAAATAATCTTGGAAGCGTACAAAGCTTGTTCCAAGTCGTCAATAAACTTGGCTTTGTCAGTGATTGCGTTCTCAGGAACACTAGGTCCAGAAAGAATCTTTGAAGCTCTAACTCTCTCGTCCTTGATGGCTGACAAGCATCTGGCAAAGACGGCCTCACCAATCAAGGTAACTGGCATACCCAGGTCCAAAGCATTGATAGCAGTCCACTTACCAGTACCCTTTTGACCAGCAGAGTCCAAAATCTTCTCAACAAGTGGCTTTCCATCATCGTCGTTGTAAGCCAAAATATCTCTGGTTATCTCAACCAAGAAGGAGTCCAAGACTCCCTTATTCCACTTGGCAAATACTTTAGAGATCTCACTGTCTGGTAGACGAGCAACACGCTTCAACAAGTCGTAGGCTTCACAAATCAATTGCATGTCACCATACTCGATACCGTTGTGGACCATCTTGACGTAATGACCTGCACCGGCATCACCAACCCAGTCACAGCATGGCTCACCATCTGTTTTGGCTGCAATAGATTGGAAAATTTCCTTAATGTGTGGCCAAGCCTCTTTAGCACCACCTGGCATCAAAGAAGGACCATATCTGGCACCTTCCTCACCACCAGAGACACCGGATCCAACGAAGTGAATACCTTTTTGCTTCAATTCCTCGTAACGACGGTTGGTGTCAGGGAAATGGGAGTTACCACCATCGATAATGATATCTCCTTGGTCCAAGTGAGGCAGCAATTGCTGGATGAAGGCGTCGACGGGGTTACCAGCCTTGACCAATATTATGATTCTTCTAGGTCTCTTCAAATTGGCAACCAATTCTTCAATGGAGTGAGCACCAATGATTGATTTTCCCTTGGCTTCGTTGGCCAAAAAGTGGTCAACTTTCTGCACAGTTCTGTTGTAAGCGACGACAGTGAAACCGTGGTCAGCGGCATTCAAAATCAGGTTTTGACCCATAACGGCCAATCCAATAAGGCCAATATCTCCAGTAGCTTCAACCATATTTATCAGTCTTGTTTCTTTTCTTTGGTCCTAAAAAAAAAAATTGCAAGGTAGAAAAAAAGGGGGATCAACTATATATATAAGGAGAGCGACCTCTCTGTTCGACGATGGATTAGGCAAGAAACCGCGCATCGATTATATTGCGGTTGTGATGACAGGGGTGCGAGGGAGGTAGTGTATGGCGGTGGGGGAGAATAACTGGGTACAAATGAGGGCGAGGGAAGGAGAATGTTAGGGCACGAATGTCTACCCTTGTGGGTTCAGCTACAAGCATCTAACTGAGGTCTCATAACTGGAACTCAATTGACTTTCAAGGCCAACAATTGGATGGGTGAATAGAACCCCGAGAAGTGGATATTTTGGTCTAGAAGTTGGTTGGGTGTTTGGGGGAAAAAAGAATATAGTGCCGGACGTTCGCGCAAAGATCGTGATGTTGCAAGGTGCTCTCCCACCCAAATTGGAAGAGGAGTTGGTTGGGGGATAGGCGGAGCTTCGGGTTCCGAAAAAGCCATAAAAAAAAATTACTAATAGAAACGAAAAGGTAATACTTTGAATGTTCGGGTGTATCCTTTTGGCTTTCACACGACAGTAATCGATGAGTCAAAGCATGCAGCTATTGCAAAAGTTTTACAATAGGTTTATGCAAGTTTACTGTATCCCGCATCGATTAATAAGCCTTGCGTGCATCCAGGAAAGTTTATATAACAAAAATCTCCAACCTCCGGTTCCCCAGTCTTCTCTTCCTTCTCTAATCAAAATGAAGACGACAGAGAACCGGAAACCTTCTTCCGACTCATACAGTATAGCTTCACTTGAAGCTTCTGACTCCAATACTGAGAACCAGCATGATGTACTGCCTTATTTCAACGATGTTCCACTTCAGAATATTTCCCAGGAACCCACGCGACGGAGTGCCATATCTTCGATTTTGGAGGCAATTGATGACGAAAACCAACAAACAAGAAATGAGGCTACAAGTCTGTATAGCAGCGATAGGATCTGTCCAATTGATGATTCTACCATAATGGAAGCTGTTGATATAGCTGTTCATAGGGTGAAAACTGGCGCACATGAAGGTCATGATGACTCAGCCGAAACGATCTCACTAGTCTCCGATACCCCAGAAAAAAATTTAATCGACCAACCACCAGATGGAGGGCTCACTGCATGGTTAACTGTCACCGGAGCTTGTCTGTTTGTCGTGTCAACCTGGGGTGCCAATGCTGCCTATGGAGTTTTTCTCAACTACTATCTGACTAATCATATCTTCTCTGGCGCAACTCCCTATGATTTTGCTTTGATCGGCGGAATGGTTATCTTTTTAGCTCAGGTTTTAGCCCCAGTTGCTATGATCTTGCAACGTACATTCGGTTATTACCCAGCCGTTATCTTTGGAATCGTTTTTCAATTCACTGGATGGTTTACCGCAAGCTATGCTAAAACTATATGGCATTTGTATCTAAGTCAGGGAGTCTGTGTGGGTCTCTCGTCTTCATTTCTGTTTGTCCCTGTGTCGACTCTTATTCCGGAATATTTTGTCAAGAACAGGGCATATGCAATGTCTGTCGCTGTAGCGGGCAGCGGTTTTGGAGGTGTGTTGTTCTCCCTTTCCGTTAATGCTGTAATCGACCGAGCAGGTGACCAAAAATGGGCCTTGAGGATGGTATGTTTTGTCGTTACCTTCCTATCTGTCATTGGCTTGATCATTTCTAGGCCTAGAGTTCATCGTCCTAGAATCACTAATTGGCTGGATTTCAAAGCCCAATGCAAGATCATCTTTAATTTCCGAATAGCTCTGAAACAGCAAGTCTTGTTAGTCGCTTCCTGGTTTGCAATAGTAAATCTTGGTTACGTTGTCCTTTTGTTTTCTATTGCACCTTTTGCAACGATGATTTGTGGGCTATCAGCCAGACAGGGGTCAATTCTCACTGCTGTAATGAACACCGGCCAAATTGTAGGAAGGCCTTGCATGGGGCTCATGGCAGATCGCTTCGGCCGTTTAAATTTCACCATAACGATCAACTTTTTTGTGGCTATTCTCATTTGGAGTTGGTGGATTCCTGTACGTTCATTTGCAGCCCTTCTACCTTTCTCATTCATACTGGGAGCTGTCATTGGAATTGGCAGTGTAATGAATCCAGTACTGACGGCAGATTCCGTCTCTACTACCCAATTCCCTGCTGCATGGAGTTTGGTCAACATAGTTGGTGGGTGTCTGAGTTTGGTTGCAGAAGTCATGGCCCTTGGTATAAGGGATTTTTCCATGTCTAATCCTTTTCTAAACACTCAAATCTTTTCGGGATTTGCGTTCTTTATTGGTGTACTCTTGCTCCTGGCTTTTCGTCAATGGAAAATCTACCGTCTACTAGTTCAAAGACAATCACATAACGAGTCTCAGATAAAAGAAATCCATTCGAAATCGAACCTGGAATACACAGAATTTACCGAGGATTACGTTCCTTACGAAGTCATGATCAAAAGAAAACAAAAGTACGATGTTTTACTTAAAGATGGTATCAAAGCATATATTCTACGGATGTTATACCCCATAAAGACCTAGAAAACAGGCACACTAAGCAATGAGGATTTTCACTAGCTGGTAGGGTTGACTTTCTGGGCTGGAGATAGGACGGAAGGATCAGGTTAAGATAAAGATCTTTGTTTACAGCGTCTTCATTTTACACTTTCATGCTTCCATTCAACCACGCCATCTATGGAAGGACCTGTTTTTTGCTTCTTCTTACTAATTCATCGTTATGACAACCCAGAGACACTAGGCTAGACCTTTGTGCTCCTTAATAAACGGGATATACTTTAACCATAATATTTTACTCTACCATTGAGTTATTAATCATTTACTATTTCAGCGTCGGGGACATTACGATTACAACTTCACGCCACGTGAAAGTTTACTTAAAAACTCAGAGCCCACCGAAATCATGAATCTGGAAAAGCTTGTTGATTATGCATATGAGTTTAAATGAAAAAGCATTTTAATATTGATAATTATAGTTTTAGATTGGTTAACGCGTTGAGATCTTGACTTTCCACCTAAGATTCATCCTCATCCTTTGTAACGTCTACTTCCTTTCCAATTCTTACCTGAGATGGCGCTTCAGGCTCAGGCGCTAAGACATCCCTCAGCTTGTTTTTAGCTTGGTCTTGCAACTCTTGCACCATAGCCTGTACTACCTGGATAATGGGTCCCAAAAGGTTAGTTTTGTAGCCTAAATAGAGACCTGTAAGTCCAATTAATAACAATGTGATCAGCAATGGGT